GACTGCTAAAAATCCGTCAATTTGATTTGAACGGTATCGTAAACTGTGTCGAGAGAGAGAGTTTAGGGTTTCGTCAATTATACAGGGCGCGCGAGATATTTGAAAAAATATCATTCGGGAACGCTATTATTTGTACAAATTTGAACATTTAACAAAGTTTGCTGAAATTTTGAAATTCGGCGAGGCTTGAAAGACACTTTATACAGGGTGTATGCACAATAAAATTACATCGATCTTACGAAAGTTCCATAGTGGTCCGCAGGAGCACGATAGAAAAACATTGTGTCCCTTTACCACAAGAAACTGCGAAGCTCTTTCTTTTTAAAATAAAAGCGACGATTTTTCGAAAGCAATCTTGTTACTTTCGAAAAATCGATAAAATCGAATTTTTCGAAAATATATGCGCTTGGCAACGAACCCTATATCTCGGCAACGGAGCGTCGTATTTTAAATTGCAATTACCAGTACAAATTTTAATATTTACAGAAGTGTGCCGTAACTTTGAACTTCGAAGAGATGTGAAGGACACTTTATACAGGGTGTATTCACAATAAAATAACATGCAAAAACAATGCGTCTAGGACAAGGATAAGCGAAGCGCCTTCTTTTTAAAATAAAAAGCTGATTGGCGCTACTTGCGGTGAACTTGCCCCGCCCAGCAATGATTTTTCGAAAGCAATCTTGTTTAATAAGTCCTCTACTGATTAACATTTTTCACAACCTGGTAACTTTTTCGAAACGCAGAGTAACAACGATTATTCAACACTGCTACGATTGGTCCAACACGCAAGTAATAAATCAGAAAGAAATAAACTATAGACTATAACTTATTAACGTATTTGGTTGCTTATACTGTCTGCCTAGTGTGGGTACACTGCGTCCCAAATTGCTTGGAATAGCGGGATATCTTAGTAACCATCAGAGACAGGAGTTTGCAGTCTTTGCGAATCTGTGTGTCGTAAACAAAATTATGTCACCTCGTTTCATTTAGGAGTTACAGAATGAAATAGAAATTTTGCGCTGTTTTATGGTGGTGTCACACTCTGTAAGATAGAAAAAAGGCAAAAACTGTTATGATTTTTACGTAGAATCTAATGGCTTAGTCAACATTTTTTTACACAACTAATTTTCGAGATATGTCACATTCTTTAAATGGAACAACATCATTTTTTTTCTGATAGGTATGGTGATGAAGGTATAAATGACCACAATCAAAATTAAACAGATATCTTGGTTAATTCTATTCATAGATGGATCCTACCATAGAAATAAAAAGCAAACAATAATATCAACCTTTATTAAATGTTAGGTAAATTAATAGATATTAAAAAAAAAGTAATCTTCAAAATAGCAATAAGTATGATAGATGGTTAGTCTCATTGAAAGTACGAGTTTTTCTTTATTTAGTTGATACCCAGGAAGGTCGAATAAAAACAACGCCGATTTACAGTTAACTTAATTAATGCTCGAATGCTCGAATACTATAGCTACAAAATCCAACCATTCAGATATTTACAGACATGAATGCTCTAAGAACACTGTATGCCAATTATGTGTACGGGAGAGGGAACTATTTTTAACAGTTTTTTTAGTCATGTAGAATTTTTTTATTATTATCAGTAATTTTCTTTAAATAAATAAATTTATCATGTTCAGAAGCATGAATAGTTATTAATTTTTATATTTTTTAAATCTTGCTAAAAAAGTGTGAGTTGAAATATAATATAAACTAGTTGGCATCATTTCGTTTGCGGCATTCAAAGTTTCGCAAAAAAACTGAAACTGAGGAACCTAGGCAACAAGCAATCTGACACCCAGTGTACCGGGTGGCCAGAATGCAAAGTGTTCGAAAAAGAAAATCAAGATGGTCGTCATGACCATCTTAAACTCTAGAAGTTAATTTTTCACTAAAATCCTTCTAGTAAATGTAACAAAACAATATATGTTTTTAAAAGCCAAGCTTTATTCGCGTAATTTTTGTTTATTATTTCTTGACGGATCTATCAAATTTTTTTTAAATTACATAAAACTTTTATTGCTCTATCAAACCCGTTTTACCTGTAGTATATCTAGGTCTTAGTGAGCAGGCTAGAGCGCGTTCTTTGACAAAATAACAAAAAATTGCAAAAATCTCTCAAAAATTAAATTCAACAATATGACTTTATCAATAAAAATGAATAAATAATTGATTATCCTTATCGATTTTTCTTTTTTCACGATTCAATAATAACAGTAATTTTATGATTTTTAAATTAAAAAGGCATTTTATTGCTTGTTTTTTCTCCACAGCCTACTTTTCATATTCTGTACTTGCACATTTTAATATCTATTGCATATTGTGCCCATATGCGATTAAATTTTTATTTTTTTGATGTTTAAATCCTCTTTCTTGGATATTTAAGGTTAGAAATGAGTTATCAAGATACGGTTTTCACCAGCCTATTTAGGTATATTTTTATGGAAAAAAGTCATATTATTGCATTAATTTTTGGTTAGTTTTTTTTGTCAATTTTCTCTTATTATATCAAAGAACGCGTTCTACTCGTAAAAAGCTTAGTTTTTGAAAACATATTTTTTGGTAACATTCACTGAAAGGATTTTAGAGAACAATCATATTTAAAATTTAAGATGGCCACTTTCATAATAAAATTTTGTACCGCAAATCTCTACGACGAACAGTTTTCGAGATACAGCTTCATTTCAGACATGACACGAATAAGAGAGACGAGAAATCATACACCGGTGTCATATGTGAGACAAATTTTCGGGTTGCTACGTACTAATACAGCAGCAAGTCCTCTTTCTTGGAAATACCGTAATAATTTTCATCTCGGCACTTTATCGCACTCGGGGTTTAACCCAGAGTCTTGATAAAATTATGATAATATGATAAAAACGTAATGGGTAAAAAAAATTTTTGGTTGTCTAAGTCGACCGTCGGTCCCCCAAAACTAACCCCAGATTGTATACGGTCCCGTTAAACGCCATATGCGTATATTCGGTAGCCTAAGTCGATTACCGTTCCTTTAAAAGTACCTCCAAATTCCCGAAAAGCCCGGAAAATTCCGGGCCTTAGCCGCAACCCCGGAACTTTGTCGAATGTTTATGATTAGGTTAGACGGAAGAACGGGCGGGGATAAGTGGAACATAACGGAGTAATAGCGTAGGGGAGTAGCCCCACTCCGCGCGCGAAACGAAGTTACAAAGTCCCCCCACCACCCGGTCATAATTTCAAAATTTTACCTAATCTCGTTCAACGTTGTCTTACGACTTTAACAAATTTACGATACACGGCGCAAGGGGGGAGGCGAGGCGAAGAGTCTCGCGCGATCCGGCAACGCCGCACACAATTAAGCATTCATCCGTCATAATTAGCGCATGTTCCAGTCCCGCGGGGTCCGACTTTAACGATATTTAACCAACAATTGTTTTCATTAACGGACCAATTAAGTTCCGAAAATAACATTACGGGCGGGCGGGACCCGCCAATTGTTACATAATTAATTTAAAAACACTCGTTTAATTGACAACATCACGCATAACTCGGGAAAATTAACCGATCTATCACCGCTTTTGAAATCCTCCAATCTAGCGGCGATGATGTCATCCTACGAGTGTTTTAATTAATTGACGCGACAAATTCGGGAAATTTTCATTATAGCGCTCAGTTACGCACTTAAAGCGACATCCAAATAACATTCAATCTTTTAATTAATTTATTCTCAAAAGTTAAAAAGTTAAAAGAAGCCTTTTCTTCGTACTTCTTTATTTCATATACCAAAAATCATTCCAGAGTTTACATAGCATCTTGGTCCAGCTGATAGAGCGGGGGAATATTTTGAATATATATAAAAGACTACTTTAACCAAAAGGTGAAAAAAAGTCTTCTTTTGTACCTATCTTCGAAGGTCAAGAAGACAGCAAAAAAATAACAAAAAAAGACAAAATATTCTAGAGCTAACGTAACATCTAACTGCTGCTGTTGTAGCCTAGTTATTGATTTGAGAAGACTGCAACAAATGTGCGTAGTGACCAGGATGGTTATACTAGTTTGAGTATCTTTGGAGGGGATAAAGAAAAAAAAACCTTCCTATTTCTTTCTACTTTAACCAAAAGGAAAAGAGGAGCCTTGTTAAGTACTCATTACATTGACATGTATAAAACTTCAAAGGGTTTGACCATATTTACAGGTTATCCAAGAGAGGATAGAAAGCGAAGGTTGAATTCAAAGAATCTTCTTACTCCTGCATATAATATAACAAAATATTCTAGAGCCAATGTAACATCTAATGAACCATTAAAGAAGATCGGGAGAATAAAAAGAAGAACCTGCTGATTTAGCAAAGTTAAGTTTCAAAGTTTTCTTGTCTGCTAGTTTCGGTCGAGAAGATTAATATGCAAGATAAATATTGGTGTGAAGTAACCAGGACGGTTACATTATTTTGAGTATCCTTGGACGGGATAAAGAAGAAAGAAGCTACTTCATTTAATAAACAAATTTATTCCAGACTTAACGCAACATCTAGTTCTCTGTTAAAAAATGGAGAGAGAATGCATTGATGATACAAAAGGGGCGATGGAAGATAGTCACCAAAGTTGACTTCAAGAAGTTTTACTCATTGTTGATCAGGATGTCATCTAAAGGAGATTAAGATGAAAGTAGATTGGAAGAGCGAACGTTGATGAACCAGAGAAAACACCATGCAGTATATGGGATGGAACATAGTCACCACTATTTTGGTGTTTTCCTATTTAATATAGATAGATACTCGCTAAAAGAAGATAAAATAGGGAAATCGAGAACAGAAGGTGGTGAAGGATAGGTTTTAAAATCGACTTCAAGGAATTATGCGACATTTGAAATTAATTTTAGAGATACTTGAAGAAAACCAAGATAAAAATGAAGACGATATAAAGGAAAGAGTAAGAATAAAACTAGTTGAGACTGTTGTAAATCCGCTCATTTTAATTGCCTTGGTTATGGATAGAATTTGACTCACCTATCACCGAAGGGGAACATATGCGAGAACGCGGCTGTCTGCAACGATTTGGGAGGGTCCGAAGAGGCCGAAGGAGTCGGACTACCGTGAGGCGAAGACATATTCGACGGGTTCGCTTCCTGGACGACGCTTATCTGCTCGGGACTCTCCCTGTCCGCTGAACTCCTGCTCGAGCATTCTCTCTCCCTCGCGATATCGTCATCGGCTGTCGCTTCTTCCGGCGAGCTTCTCTGGCCATCTTCCGGCTTCTCATCTTTGGCATCACCGTCCCTCTTGATGATGTCGTGGCCTTCCCGTTTCCGTTGTTCTTCTTTCAATCGTTCGGCTTTTCGCCATTTGGCTCGGCGGTTCTGGAACCATACCTGAAATGATAACCATTACCTGACCCTCGGTTGCTTAAATAGCCCGCAATTTAGTTGGTTGGCTGGTAAATAGCACGAACCGAAGAAGATAAACGCGAATTAGATCTACATGTCTGATCTACTGGCATTTCTTCAAACAAACACATAGTTGTGGGAGCAAATATAATTAAGTTAGAGACGATTGGAAACGAACTATGACATCGGATCGAGCGGCAATCTAATCAGCACTGATTTTTTTTTGGAACACACACCCTCCGTTCGCGGAACTAAATCGTTCGTGTCAGACAGGCCACTCCATTACGTCTACGTTGTCTCGCTAATTGGAACGTGACGTTCCTCCTTTGTTTTATTGTTTTCGTTAAATGGCAACGGCGCTCCGCCGCCCCCAACAACAAAGATCCCCTGCGAAACGGCATGAAGCGATAACAACCAACGAGACGTCCAATCGGGTTTCGCTCTTCTGTTGTGCTTTGTCTGAGCCTCGTATCTACTTTCAAATTGTACTTTTTAAATGAGTGGAAAGCCCTTTGACAGATTAATTGACGTAATGACCAAGAGTCAATGGCTGATTGATGATGCCTCCATATGTAAGTACAGTAGAATAAAATCATTTTAGTTTCAGCTTTACAAGTAAAATAAGTAACAGGGTTTAGAAAAGATTTTTAGAACGAGAGGGAATATGAGTTTTAGTAGCCGCGTTTGGGTAAAAAATATTGACAGATGGATGGTTCTCTGTTCTCGATCGTTGTTTAATATGAAGTGTGATGGAAAACTGATAAATAACATCAGATATGCCGAGGATACAATTATATTAGCTACCTGTTTTGATTATTTGCAGTTTCTTCTAGAGAATTTTGTCAGAGCACGGACTGACCCAAAATGCCAAAAAGTATGGCTCATATCAAAATAATCTCAATCTCAAGAAATCTGAAATGATACTACTGAGTTGTTATGGACTCTCAGCTCTTTTTTACAGGGCAGAATGTTAGACCCTAGAGAGAGATAAATAATAATAATAAAAATAAGCAAATTTATTTCAACAGGATTACATCCAATCAGAGAAAATATAAACATAAAAGAAAAATGGTGAAAATACAAGGAACGCACAGGTACTCTAAGCAGTCATAAACTCTGCGCGCGAAGCAAAAAACAGTTAACAATCTCACGAAGTCTGGAACAATATTGAAGTTACCACACATAAACAAAGTTGTCGACTGATATAAAATTTGTCGTGGAGATGAAATATAAGCCTAAATCTGGTTTCAAAACTGGGAACGTCAAATTTTACTTTGTATAAAAACCACTCAGAGTTCACCGTACCATGCAAAAGACCATACAGAAATTTTAAAGAATGTCCTTTCTAACCTCCAAAGATGATTTCCCGAACGTGCCTAACAGTACCTGATAGTCAATCCTCTATTTCGATAAAACTGACGTAGATATACTGAAGAATTTAGAAAATAAGTTGGATAGACAGAGAATGAGGAAGGAAAAGAAAGTGGTATTTAGTACCGGAGTACTTAGATCACATAATTACAACTAATATTTCAGGCAAAAATTCTGGAACTCCGTTTCGAAGCCATTATGATTGCAAACCTTTGGAAGGAAAATGGCAAGACATGATTAGAATTTATCCTAAAGAATATACTGCAAAAATATTGCCTGCAATATTTAAAATCATCTTACGCTGTGCGACAGCAACAGCACCAACTGGAACCCTTGTAGTGTATCAAACGTGAGTGCTGGTGGTATTACAACTACAAACAATGTTCTCTTTCCCAGAAGTCGATCATCATAGTATTAAGCAGCCTGGAAGAAATCAGAATAAAAATAGAGCAGGCAAGAGTACTATTAAGATAAAACTGTATTTTAAAGCAGTGATATTTCGTTGGGTTTGAAAGTGAGACTTCTAAGATGCTATGGTTCAACTGCTTCAATAATCAACTCTTTAGATCTGTCGTATTCAAGGTTCGAATAGCCATGATGACCGTTATAATGAAAATGGCATTTGAAAAAGAAGATGTCCTTGCCATTAGATGCATCATTAGAATTTCTTCTGTATGTACTTAAAAGAATTTTGCGTGCGCAATCCGCATCATCCATCAAATCATCTGCATGTTTTCTACTCTCACTGGTAGCCCTGCCGTGTGCCAAATATAAGTGAGCAGCAAACTGAACCTTTCTGAGCTAAAGAAAATCAAAATATACCAGTTTTAAAATCATAGTAGGATAATTAACGACTTTGTTTTCTCTTCAAAGAATCGATCATCGTGTTTAACGGTATTCTACAAATAATTTTTGGTTTTTTTAAATGTCCTGTTTTATTGGCACTTTGACAGGTTTGTTAGGTTTGATTATGAAGAGTGTTTTTATTCAGGACTTTGTTTTGAAATACCTAAAGATACTTGAATGTTTCAGACGCATCAAACGAAATAACCTTCGAAGTTCTGCAGTACCAACACTACTCTGAGCATATCACATCACACTAATTATGCGACTTCTAGCAATGAAAAAACGACTCCTGTGTTGAGATTAATGATATCAAAAATACCTCATGTGTTGATATTCTATACCACGAAAACTTTTAAAACATTAACTTTTTTTTCTGTCAACTGTAACAGTTAACCTGGAAAACGATAAAATTATCATGAGTAACTCTTAATATGCTACTGAGTCTTGAGCGAATTCTAGTGATGAAGAATAACTCCTGTGTTCAGATTAATATTAAAAATACCTCCTAGATTGAAACGGACTTGTAATTAATAAGTATGATCAGTTTCTCGCCAAACTTCGTGTGCTGATATTCTATACTAAGTTAGCTTTTAAAGGATTGACTTATTTTCTGTCAAGTTTCTGTAAAGTTTAACCTAGAAAACGATAAGATTAATACGAGTATATGCTACTGATGCTTTAGTTGGTTTTCCCAGGGGCAATCCTGCCCTGGTAATGTACCATGTTTTAATAGAGAACTTCCTCCTGAAATTCTCAGATGGATCAGTGTCCAAAATGAAACAAATAAAGAGAATAGAATTTCGAAAGTCTGTAGTGTTAATTAATTAAGTAAGCAAATTGTAGCGATGAAGAGCAATTTCACAGACTTTGTGTATTCTATACCACTATAACTTTGAAAGCATTGACTTTTAAATTAAATTTATTATTTTACTACTAAATTTAACAGTTAAGCCAGAATAACTCTTAATATGCTGCTGAGCTTGCGCCAAAAACTCCGAAATCAACCCCTAAACTACCCCCGGCGATGACTGATCCCACCTGGGCCTGCGACGTTGCCGCTGTTTACCGTCAAGGTGTGTATTAGATTGCAGCGTCAATTAAAACGGCCTAATGAGCCACTCTGGACACAATTACACTCGCGCGCTCCCTTTCCGTCCACTCGCTTTGTTTCCACGCCGTGTCCTCTCGTGTATTATACACGTCGAGTCGACCAGAGAGCTTCTCCACGGCTTCTATTTTGTTGACGCACTATTAAACAATTCGTTTTCCGCTGTTCCGCGTTCGCGCGGGGTTGTTTTCATGGCGACGAGTGTCCTCGAACGTTTTTCCCGAAGGGCGTTCGTCGGACGACGCGTACCGTGTCCCGTTCGAGTGGCAGGAGGAGCGACGATCTTTTATTTCGCTTAAAAAGACGCGAGATTACCAATAAAACGTTTATTTTGGGGTGGACGCTACGCGGACGTTTATAATCCTAATCTCTTTAAAAAGTTAGAGGTTGGGATTGGATTTTCTTCTAATGGCCACGACTACATTAGGTCATTCGGCCACCTTACGACAAGTGAGAACGTAATTAAAAAAAATCTAAAGGATACTTTCCTAAGGGAAGGGTCTGGAACAATCCATCATCCTCCAGGTTGATTCTTCATCTTCTATCATATCAGTAGGCTGCTGTCTGTTCATTGCCCACGCGTCTTCCCTGGAAGACGAGGTCCAGCATTCTCGCCACCGTTTTGGCGGTCTTCCTTGAGATCTTTTCGCTACTGGGCTGTTAATTTTTGCGGTCTTCCATTCTTTTCATGTGTTTGTTCCGAAACCTTCGTCTTTGCCTCACCCACATTCCTATTGCTTGTATACCGCACTGCTGTCTGATATCCTCATTCCGTATTTAAATTTTATTTTTAACGCAGTCGTCTTGATCTGCATTTCTATTTGCTCTTCCGTAGCACAAATGCATATCGCGATATTCAGTATTTGAATTTTAATGATAATTAATAATAATCTCTTTTAATAAAATCTAATTTTTAACGGATTGTGCCAATGACTTTTTTCAAATTTCATTAGGTTCTGTTAGGTAAACTCACATTGGATCTTACATCCAAGTTTATACAAAATATATAAAAATATGATAAAAATGATAGGAAGAAAATTATTTTCGCTACTTAAATGGTCTAAACATGCGTCCTTGCGTATTTATGATATTAGTGGTAGTGAGAGTATATTTACTATTTTAAAATAAATAAATGAAACAAATAGTTTTAAACTTATTGTAAATAGACAATGGCAGAAGCAGATATAGGCCGACATTTTTAAGATACATTTTCTGTTAATATTTGGTCTGGCATAATTGGTCCGTTTATAAATGATCTTTCAATATTACTTGGTGGCGTTATTCTTAACGTAAGACAAAGTTCAGCAATTCCTTGACCAGCAAGGTCACCTGACCTTAATCCTTTAGATTACTTTTTATGAGGAAGACTAAAAACTTTAGTTTATGCAGAAAGTATTGAAAACAGTGAACAACTTGACCATGGGGCCAAAGAACAAAACTGATGATTGGCGAAAGGAGGAGGACGCAGGAGGATTACGAGGTTAGCGCCAAAATTTCCCGGCTTGACATAGATGCAGCTCTAGTATCACGATAAAACTTTGTCTTCTTTTAAATATGTATCTTAGTAGGCTGCGAAAAAAAAATTGAAGCCTTTCGTCAAATAGTTTTTTATTGACAGCATTTTAAGCAAGACGTCGCAAAATGTCGCACATGACAAAAG